GTAGTTCATTATTTAACAACATCCGTATAAATCAGGGACGTGAACCGGATGAACAATTTGGTCGATTCGGTTCAGCGATTCGAACCGTTTTTTGCACTTTTGGATTGGTTCGTCAAAGCGGTTTTTTGGGCTTTGAACCGGGTTTTCGGTTCGGTTCAACGGTTCGAAAAACAAAAAAATTACGCGCAAGTTTAAGTGTCAAGTGTCAAGTGCAACAACGCGCAAGGTTACATTACATTTGATATTGTCACATGGTAAACCAACATGGTGGGTATTACCATGTTTACCAAAAAGAAAAAAAGTGGGTTCATTTATCTATTGAAAATTGGTTGAAACGAACCTTTCAATCTTTATTTATTTTTTGTACTTATCTGTACAAATGTACCATCGAGTGCCACTGCCTTAAAATTTTATTATTAAAAAAATTCAACACATTTTCGTAAAAATTTCGGGTTTTTTAATTAGATTGTGAGTATGCAGTTTTGTATCCCATTGAATTCTAGTAGAATAAAGTACAAGTTTCAATTGGCTAAAAACTACGATTGATTTTTTAGAATTTTAAAAAAAGCTCGAAATTTGTACGAAAGTTTGTTGACTTTTTTTTTAATATAGCACAAATTTGGAAACTTGGATTTACACGGGTTTTGTTAAAGAATGAAATATATTATATGAAATATATTATATAGGTAGGAGGGTGAGGGGTCAGAACACCTTTTTATTATTCAATTCAACCTGTAATTTTCTACTCAGTATAGTCATGCTTACGGTGACCATCCGTCATTTATTTTAAAAGACAGTTCTTTATTTTAACCCCCTGTCCTTTATAATTTTTTTCAAAATAAAGGACTCCTTTTGTCCTTTATTTCTTAAACTGTCCTTTAAATCAGCTCTGCATTTTTCAGAGGTAAACTTTTAAACACAGAATATGAAACATAAAAATATCCCTTATAAAATATAATGAAAGCCTTCGCCAGTTTGTTTCGCACCCCACTTAAGGGTTTCTACTTAATCGGTAAACTTTGTACAATCTATAAGCACAGAGAAAGTTGTGCCCAGGATCGTGTTGCACGCTGAGTTTCCACTTCCACTGAAAGATAACAATAAACCCCCTGCTGCACAGTGATTAAAAACTGGCATGTTCGTAATTCACTGGAGCCTTCATTTTTTTCACTTAATTTGATTATTTTGACTGAGCCTGATTTGTAAATTTTTATTTAATTATATTAAATTTTTTAGTGCAAAATGCAGAAAAAGTAGCAATTTTGAAGAAAATGTATTCTCCTGTTCGAGTGAATAAATGTTACATAGCAAACACTAGTTGAAAACAATTGTATGGTTTTTCCAAAACGAAAAAATTACAAAAAAATTTGAAATGTTTTAAAAAATGTTCACCAAAATAAATATTTTTTTTTTAGTTTTTAGTAAAAATTGGTTGAAAAATGAAGGCTCCGGTGAATTATGAACATTCAATTCCAATTTGGAACCACTGTGTGCTGGCTTCGTTGTGCAGTATGAATTATGGTAAACGCATTTTGGTGACAAAGGATGGCGAAGGCCTTGAAAAGGATTTGGCTTAATTTTTCGCTACAGCAGGGGAACTTGTACAATTAATGAATATAATTAACTGGTAAATATTTGATTTAAATTACGATATGGGTAAGGTACTTTTCTCATACAAGTTGTATGTACGTATTCCCAAATCTTTTTGAAAAAAAGTCCTTTATTTTACGTTGGTTAATATGGTCATCGTAGTCATGCTTTAACGCGTATATTCTGAGTACATAATTAGCAAGCATTATTGCACGCAACTCTGTAGGACAAATATAACTAAAGATTATCGTTGATTTTTTTAAATTTTGTTTGTGGAGGGTGTTACGAATTTTCTTCCATATAACGCATGAACAAAACTGAGTTTTATATGGAAGAAAATGTGCCACACCCTCCACAAAAAATCTTCGGAGATTTTTAGCGACTTGAAACTGGCACTTTATCATACTTACTAAATGAGCTATAAAACTGCATACTCGAAATCTTTCTAGGAAATCTGATTAAAAAAGCGAAATTTTGATGAACATTTTTTTAATTTCAATTACTTTTTGTGAACTTTATGCAAGCTTGAAACTTTTATTTATGTGGTATCTTATAAAGATCGGCCCATATCTTAAATGAAAATTATTAAAAATAAATAAATAAAGATAAGTTCCAACAGCATAATTTTGAATTTTGACGGCAATTGTATCTCTTACTTTGTTGTTATGGTTTTGTCAATTATAAGTCGTCGCCTGGGTAAAAGATTGTCGTAAGCGCAATTTTGACGATTTTTAGTTATAGATGCAGTTATATATTTTGAAATAAGATCTTTTGATTGGTATCATGTGTTTTTAGATATCTCCGTTAGTTTCTGAGATATTGACTACGTTTTTTCCGATAATTTAGTAAAAATTTAGTTAGTGATGCAGTCATATTAAACTAATCAATATCTTAAAAATGGCGTCCTCCATTTTCGGATATCTCCTTTAGTTTCCGAGATATTGAGTATAAGGTGTCATTAATTTAGTAGAAATGTTGATCACATTTTGTCGTATTTCATACAATGTGGCAGCCAATTTGTGGACAAATGACGCTTACGACAAAATTTTACCAAAGAAAATCTCTCATATACCCAAAACTAATTAACAATAAACATTAAAAATTAAATAATATAAGAATTTAGCGAACTAGTAACATTTTCAGAGACTTTGGAGAAATTCTATCCTCGCGTTTTTGAGAAATTGCATTCCAAACTTCAATTGCGATTTCCCACAACCTGCCGAAATCAACATACGACAATCTTTTACCCAGGCGACGATGTATCCGCACATACATATTTTTGTATAAAATAAAAATTGTTTTCACGATCTGAACATTACTTCGTTTAAATGGATCACCTTTGTTAATATATGGGCTTTAATAGTTGGGCTTTTAAAGAAAATCCTTCATTTCTCATTTGTCCCGTTAAATTTTATAAATCCCGTATTTTTGGGACAAATTATGGGATTGTCCCGTATGACTGGGAAAAAAATCTGGCAACACTAGCGTACACTGGTGGCCCGATAATTAGAAACGATTTTCTCTTACAAGTTTTGCCCATATAGTTTTATTTATTAGTTATAATTTATTTTTTAAGAAAATATAGTGCATGCTACAACGAAAAGCATATAACACAAAGATTTAAACCTTGTACAAGATTTATAATAATTCGACGAAGTTAAAAAAATAGTCACCAAAATTTCCAAGACTTTTTTCGAGGATGTAGTTTCATAGCCCATTCAATTTTAGTATAATAAAGTGCAAGTTTGAATTAGCTCCAAAATCTCGTTGATTTTTGAGATTTTTTTCGCTGACTATGTTAAGGGTTTTCTTCCATACAAAGCATGTTCGAAATTTTCTTGTAGGGGAGAAAATGAGCAACACCGCTAAAAAAATTTTCTCAAAAATCAACGAGATTTTTGAGCTAATTCAAACTATCCACAATAAACTAATTTATAAAAATAGATGGTCAAAACTTGTAAAAGAAAATCGTTTCTAATTATCGGGTATGTAAACATACGACTTTTGTTTTGAGCCAATAAACTGAATTACATATGTACATACATTAAAATCAATCGAGGCTGATGATCCTTTCAAGTCACTGCCAATTAAAGGTATGTTGAAAAGGTTTTGTATTCTTTAGGGTTCAATCGATACCACTAAGGTATCACTCTAATGAGTACTTGTACTCAAAAGACTGAAAGTACCGATACCTACTCAGTATCGGCAAAGTATTGAGTACTTACTTGAATTGTTTTCATCTTCTCTTTCGAGAGATACTTCCCTTTTTTGTTGTAAAAGGTCGTATGATTACGTCTTATCATGGTTTAAAACATTGTATGTAAAAAGCCAATAAAGTTGCAGGTATAGAAAACGTATATATGTAAGTTATTTAGTAAGAATACAAAATAATTATTAATTAATATTTGTGGCACATTACCAAGGAACAGTATTGGTTATAATTTGTTCCGTCATATGATTGTATAGAATATGGATAAGTTTCAGATTTTTATTTTTGTTTTTATTTTCAAACTAGTTTTATTCACTTTTTTAATTAAAAAAATTAAAAGCAAATCAACAAAGATTCATCAAAGAACGTAAAGAATAAGAAGGAACATCTTGTGCCTTCTCTTTTGCGCTAGTACGTTTTCATCAAAATTCAACACTTTTTATTCTGAATAAAAGGTGTTTAATTTTGGTGAAACTTTAATTTTCTTTTCATTTTTGTACAAAATTTGAAAGTTGGTTTTACATGGTTTTGTCATAGAATGAACTATATTTTTTATAAAAAAAGTAACTAAAATTAATTTGGTCACCATGGTCATAAGGTCACCCCTATAAGTATACAGCGCACTGCATCATTTACAAACTATTTATGAAAAAAAATTATTTTTTCTTTTGGTACATTGCTGAGGAACAATATTAGTTATAATTACTTCATATAAGTATATTATTCACAAAATATTTATGAAAAAATTGGTTTTGGGGTACACTGCCAAGAAACAACAACTTTTCTAAATGCTTTCCAGACAAGCGATTTCTACTTTCTCTACTACATGGCGCACTTTTCGCGAAAACTCCAATAACGGGCGTCATTTGATGAGTTGCCGTTGCAATGATAAAAGTAGTAGAAATTACTCTTTCGATACCAAGTACTTTTTTTTCGATACTTACCCGATAACGAACAAAAGGGTATCGAGTAAAAAAATACTTGGGATCAAAAGAAAAGTATCGAGTATTTATTTGTATCGATTGAACCCTAGTATTCTTATAAAACGGGCTTTCAAAGGTGGGTTTAATAGAAAAGATGCTAAAAATGTAATTATTATAAATAATAACTCATTAACCATTTTTATTTAAAAACTGACGATCCACTAGCGTTACCAATTAATTAATAATGAAACGGAATTGCCTTAGCAGTTTGTACTTACCTTAATATTTTAGTCATTTCCATCAAATATGTGATATTTCTGTAGTAAAGTCAAATTTCGTTCGACGTTCCGTTGTAAAATGTTTATGGTCACTTTTTCGGAGCTACAAGTTTACTAATTTTAACAATCCGATACCTCTTTTGAGAGAATTGAAATTATTGAACCACAAAATGTTTTTACAATCGCAATACCTTCCACACATCAGACGCTGATTATTTTGCTTCATACATAGATATGTACATACATATGTATGTTTTTATGTGCGTGTGTACATATGAAATTTTCTACCTTTTAACACCGTTCATATGAAGAGTAATAAACTCGAAATCGGTTTTGACTCAAATTGTATGTCGGGAATTCCACGATTCCAACTACATTTTTTCAACTGTTGCCGATTCAAATAGTGGCTTTGTTGTTATTGTACACTTGATGTGTGCCCAATTTGACACACCGACCCTATTTCTGCTATGATGCGGCTATTTTGACTTCCAAAGAGTTTAGTTCTGCGCTTGTATTTTTTTCACAACAAACATATAATCACAAAGACAATACTTCAAGCAACAAATTCAAATTTTTTCTACCAACAAAAGGCTTTCGAACCATGTTATTATGGCATTTACTTAATTTTGCCTCCTCAATGTATTTCACGTACTTATGGACATACATATGTGTACATAGTAGCTTTGGTTGTATGGTCGTGCGTTCAAAATTTATTGTTATTGTGGTTTTTAAACTTTTTATTTCACTTTTTTATGATTAGTTTTTACGTATTTATGCTTTTTTCACCTTCACAAATTAAACAATTCAAGTATGTTGGTACATATGTATGTATGCACATTAGGGTGGTCCAAAAATTTATGTAAAAAAAAAAGTTAAGTCGGAATTTTTATGCTCCCACCCCCTAAGATTGTTCTATACCGAACATACCCCTCTTTTTACAACGCTTTTATCAACTTGCAATGTTGTGGGTCCAGAAACTTTCAATGTTGTGGATCCAGAAACTTTCAATGTTGTGTGTCCGACACCAAAGCAAAGCTTTGAAAAGTTCCTATAAAAAAGCATAGTGCATAGGGCCACAGCTGTAGTGAATAGGGCGAGGTAGATGACATCTAGATGTCGCCCTATGTACTACGTTTGCTACAGCGGAAATAGACGACACGCCATTTCTTTAAATAAAATTAATTGGTGCTCGTTTGTATGTACATACATATGTAAATGCATGTGTGTGCACCTTTCTATTAATATCGTTGAATTATTTTAATATCTATTGCAAAATTTTATTCAGACAGGACTAAAAAGTAGAAAATAAATAATATAAAAAACTTTTTAATATACAACGCTTTTATAAATGGACTAAAAAGTAGAAAATAATATTTCTCAGTCCCATAGAATTTGTTTTGATAACTTTTGATTTTGAAATTTTAGCAAAAGTCATTATAAATAATCTATGAAATTGAAAATGAAAAGCGTGGGGCGCATGTAATACACTTGAATTGATATGAAAAGTAATATATGTATGTATGTATGTGGGTATATGAATAACGACCGCTTAAAATCGATTTCAAAGTTCTACTTTCGCTGTAGAAATTTTAGGTTTACGTTATGTAGTTTGACTATTGTCAATTAAATCGAATGCTTTGTATTGCATGCGCTCCACGTTTTTCATTTTCAATTTCATAGATTGTTTATAATGACTTTTGCTAAAATTTCAAAACAAATTCTATGGGACTGAGAAATATTATTTTCTACTTTTTGGTCCATTTAAAAAAGCGTTGTATATTAAAAAGTTTTTTTATATTATTTATTTTTTTTATTTTGAAATCAAAAAATATTTAGAGGTCGCTCAGTGCTCAAAGTTTTCCATGTATTTTATATGGATAAAAAAACAACTTTTCGTAGAATTGGTATAGAATTCTTGAAAATCAATCTTTCAATCTCGATATATAACAATCCTAGGGGGTGAGAGCATTAAAATTCCGACTTTACTTATTTCGGACCACCCTAATGTACATACTATAATGCGTATCTGAATATGAGTTTCATTCTTCGGCTCGCTTCACTGACAAAAGTACGTCATTATTTGTTTTCATCTTTTCATTGTGTCACTCTTATTTTTATGTTTAAATGTTCTTGTGTTCCACTAATAGCCTATATTGTTTCTGGAAGTAATATATTCAAATTTTAATTGATTATTTTAGTTGTGCTTTCCAAAACCACTTTATTTTAGACTTTGTCGATTACTTGATTTACAAATTTTATTAACTTTAAATCTGAATTTTATGAGTGAAACTGACAAGCTTCAATACTTCATAAATGACTTTTCGCATGCTAGAAAAGTAATAATAAAGGCCTTCATTTATAAACGTTCAATATTTTCAGTATTTGAAATTAAGAAAAGAAAGTTATATTTGTGGAATACTAAAGTGTGTAGTATATGTACGGTGACCATCCGTACTTTATTTCATAGGACAGTATTTTTTCTCATAATGCTGTCCTTTGACTTTATTTATTTTTCTAAAAATCTATTTAGTCCTTTATTTCAATGCTTGTCCCTTGATAGTGCTTTTTTCCACGGTTGCCACTGTTGGTTGTTGCTAACCAAACTTGGTTGTTTTCCTTTTATTTTTTCTAATTTGGATGTTTGCTAGTTTTTTTCTTTGGTTTGCTTGTTTTTTTTTTTTTTGATTAGAAATTAGCAAACTTTTTCTTTACAAAAAGCATTATTGCATACTGAATGCAAAAATTAATAAATGAATTTTTCAAATTCCTATTTTTAATGTTTTATATGCACATATAAAAAGTAAAAATGTGATTTTACGCACAAGTATTTCAACAATTTTTGTTTTCCGAAATAGCCGCTATAACTTCTACCAAAATGTAAATGTTGTCCACAAAATTTGCATAAAAAAAACCGGGCCGGGCTCATTAAAATTGTTGAATTTTTGGTTTTTGTAATAAGTTTGGCAGTTTTTACTCGATATTTAAGTGGATAACAAATTTCGTTGTTTTTTCTTCAGATTTTCGTTGGCTATTTTTCTAACAAGTGGCAACCGTACTTTTTTCACAAATTTTGAAGAAACAGAAGAGAACAAGTTGGGAAGCTAATTTTTGTCATGTACCTTCCCGAGACGAGGGAATTCAACATTCTTATCAATATAGGAAAATGAAGATTGTGCAAAGTTTATTTTGTTCTATGGGTAATGCGTTGCGGTAGGAATTCACCAAAGCTAACGTTAAGTAGCGTTGACTGCAACTCTGTATAGGTAATGTAGAGAGCCACGATTGAGAGAAAACAAAGGTTGCGCCGATCTCGGACCGGTATTCCTCTCTTAACGAATTTGACAGAATCGTTGTTTGCATGACGTCACACTGGTGCAACTTGTTTACGTTTTCCTTGCAACATTTTTTCTTCTTCTTGCATTCTTGCTCACGTTTTGGCATTTCTCTCTCGCAGTTGCACCAGTGTGACGTCACACAAAAGTTATTCTCAAAAATCCTCTCTGATCGGCGCAATCTTGTATTCTATCATTCTTGGTAGAGAGTAACACTTTAGCCAGAGGGTGTGATATCGCACACTTAGATTTAAAGTGCGTTAACTCAAAATTCATAGAGTGAAATATAACTGCTTGTGGATTTTACAGATTCAGTGCAATTAATACAAAAACAGGTATAACAGTAGTTGTTTAGTTAATGTATATAATCATCGCATTTGATTTATGCAAAAAATCGCCATACAATTTTTTTTGAGTTGATCGCACCTTAGATATAGGTGTGCGAAATCACTAGCGTGACCTGCTGTGTACCACATCTACTTTCACATGTAAAGGATCCACTTATATTCCCGTACACAGCGGAGAAGCGATTAATTCATCTTCAGCTTATGCTTTTTTCATAACAGATATTTATCAGGTTTCCTCATTTCAGATTAAAAAAAAAATTATAAGATTTCATATTCTAATAACAACGAAGGAATGGATTTTATGGAAATTCTATATTCTTTCTACATTTGCAATTAAAAAATTATAAGGTAAGCTTTCCCTGTTCGAAAATACATACAGTACATATTGCACATCATCTTCAAACGAGGCATAACTCAAAAATCGGAACCCAGATGGAACGTACAGATTCAACCCAATTAATACCAAAAAGATAAATTACGCAGCACCACTGTGGTCGCCGGGGACTAGTAGGACACAATGAATGAAGCTGCAGACGACTCAAAAGACCGCACTACGGACAGCGACTGGATGCCTTCTGATGTCGCCTGAACACCACCTACACGACGAGGCGAAATTGCTCCCGATCAAGGAGCACAATACAATGCTCTGCAAGCAGTTCCTTGTTGGGAGGCCACCCAAATGGGCAACTGCTTGCAGAAGAGTCCTCGCCCAAGCACGTCAGGAGGCATCTCTACGAACTGACGGACGAAGTCCAGAGGTTCATTAAACAACCTCTGGACCCGTCAGCTTATCGACAGGCCCTGAACGGCATTCACAGGGAGTCAGTCTCAAGTTATGTAGACTCCAGACCTATGAAATCCGTTCTAGGTGCACAACCACCGGACATTGACGAAACGTAGCTTCATCTGCCTTGGGAGACTAGACCCACAATAGCCCAACTTCGCTCTGGCTACTGCAGCAGGTTAAACTCATACCTGAGCAGAATAAACGCATATGTACCAAATGAATGTCCGGCATGCGGAGAGACATCCCATCATAAATAAACTGCTTGCAGAAGAGTCCTCGCCCAAGCACGTCAGGAGGCATCTCTACGAACTGACGGACGAAGTCCAGAGGTTCATTAAACAACCTCTGGACACGTCAGCATATCGACAGGCCCTGAACGGCATTCGCAGGGAGTCAGTCTCGAGTTATGTAGACTCCAGACCTATGAAATCCGTTCTACGTTCACAACCACCGGACATTGACGAGACGTAGCTTCATCTGCCTTGGGAGACTAGAACCACAATAGCCCAACTTCGCTCTGGCTCATGCAGCAGGTTAAACTCATACCTGAGCAGACTAAACGCATATGTACCAAATGAATGTCCGGCATGCGGAGAGACACCCACATCATAAATCACTGTTATTTGCAGATTATTTAAATAAATACCAAAAGTAACTGTTATTTCGCATTTATAAAATAACAATCAGAAATAACTGTTATTTAAGGATTAATTAAAAAAAGTTTAAAAATAATTACTGAAGAGCGGTTTTAATGATAGAAGTTGTAACTGTTACAGTTCCTGTCGTGTGCGATATGTGTCTAGCAGGGTTGTTCCGAATATTCGCATTCGCAACCGCGGAGCTTCCGCATTAATTTTAACATTCGCATTCGCTTTCGCATTCGCAAAAATAAATGCGGATTTTTTGCGAATGCGAATATTGAAAGGACCGAAAATTACAGTTATTTTTTTCCGAGTTAAACTTGGCCAAGTATTTTTTATTCCGAAATAAAAGTACTTTCCGGATAATAAACAAACCGCTTATCAAAATTAAACAAGTTTGGCATCCAATGAAAGAGGACTTGAGTAGCTTTAAAACTGAAATGTCTAAAAGAGGAAAGCCACACATTGAAAAATATTTCAATAAAAAATGTTAATTAATTACCACAGAACAAACATTGGGTAAGGTATATATTTACGTGAATTTCTTTAGTATTAAGTTATAAAAAATATAACTAGAGGTGGTAACCTTCATTCGTTATTTCTGTTTAAAAGCTATTTCAGTCCTCTTTCATATGAGACCAAACTTGTTTAATTTGGAAAAGCGGTTTCTTTATTATCATCCGGATAGGACATTTATTTCGGAATAAAAAATATTAGGCCAAATTTAACTCGGAAAAAAATAACTGTTACTTTCGGTCCCTGGAATATTGTGCAAGTGCACAGATATATATCTAACCAGTCACATAAGAAAGCATTAAAAATGAGTTATAAAAACTAAAATCGAAGAACGCTGATGACGTGACAAATTCCGAAATAACCAAAAGAATGAGAATGAAGAATTATTTCGAAAAAAACGGTGTTTAAACAACGATTGTGCCATGATGCTAGATTGTGAAGATGAAAGTCAGGAGGATACATCCGACATTTGCAGCCCCGATGAAATTCTCAAAAAGTAATTATTGCACCGCAATAAAAATAAATAAATATAACTGAAAGTCCTCTCAACTGGTGCAGAGTCAATCGAAAAGAATTTACAATTTTGCCGAGTTTCAAGTTTGTCGCCTCGAGCGAGTAGTTACATATATAGTGGCGCAGGTTTGATTTACGACCCTTTAAAAAGTTTTTATTAAGTACAATGTTCCAATTTTTAAATTCAAGTACAAAAAAAATATTAAAACTTATCATGAGTTTAATTTTCCCCGAAGTGGTTCACTTTTCATGTACATATTTACTATGGGCGGAATACAAATTTTCGGGGGAATTTTTTTTCGGGCAAAACTCAGGATAAGGAAGATTATTAAAAATTATTAACCTTTCCATTTGTTATTTACCTAAATCACCTAATTTACCCACCTAAATTATTTCTTAAAAATACATGTGCGAATGAGAATGCGAATCTTAGGAATAGCATTAAAAAAGCTAAGCTTTGTAAATTATTAGAACATTGAACCGGTGCTTAACCTCTACAGTGTTTTAATCTAGTAGTCAGTGTTCAAAAGGGGCATATTATATTTCATAAAAATTAATTTTGCTGCCTTTTCTCCCATGTGGCGATTTCTTAGAGGCTCGAATATAAGGCCGGCTGCACTGAACAATTGCTCACTGGGAACGCTGGCAGGTGGATCGCTCAAATATTTGCGGGCCAGATCTGTCAATTTGTCGTATTTTAGTTTAGTTTTTCTCCCATCGAGAAGATTTTCACCGAGATGTGCTAGTTTTTTTTTAAGACAGGCCTTCAATTGAGCTTTAACTTCACATTTTTTAATGTCTCCATATTCTACATCCGAGCCTTCGCTTTCGCTGGGGGAATGTAAAATTCCTTCTAGGTTGCTTATAAAACTTTTAGCAGTACTTGGAGAAGGGCCAACAATGTTACTTGTTATACTACTTAACCGTTTAGCGCCTGAGCCAATCAAACAATATTAGGGTTGACTTTATCTTTCACAATATCACTGAAAAATGTATCGTGGTTCGAAAAATGTGGAGATAGTA